GTGAAGAAAGTGCTCATTTATCCTAACAGGAGGGCGATTATGTGTGGCTACTTTCAATTTGGTGTGTTAAACAAAAGGCGAGTCTTTAAACAAAAGGCAAGTCTTGCTTTCCAGCACTGCTATTAACACTGTCACTAAGTCAGTTTCCTGCTAAACCTACTTTAATGAGTAAGCCAAGCAGTTTATAATTGATGGCTGGATACGTCTGGAGACTCCTGCAGTTGAAAGTAGTTTGTTCTCCTAACCGGCTTAAACATTAGCCTCCTAATTGTGCTAGCACAATTCATTTGCTGCCTTAGCAGAATGTCTCTCTACTGAGAGGAAGGAAAGAGCCTGGGCTTGGGAGCGAAGCCCAGCTCTGCCAGCATCTGCCAGTGCTGTGTGGCCTCGGGTGAGTCGCTTGGTATCTCTGAGCCTTGGTTTCTTCATTCTGTGCTGTCGGGAGACAACCTGGGGTCTGCTGGCTCGTTTGGAGAATTGGACTGGCATATGTTTACAGATCACGTGATGGCTGTCAGATGGGCAAATACTGCTCCCTCCCCAAGTCCTGGCGCTATGCCCTCAGGCATGGGAAGTTAGGGTATCCATAAGTCTGGGGATGAGAAGCTGTCCCCTCCCCTGCCAAATAATTCTGCCTCACTGTCTATACAGAGAAAGAGAAAGACCCCAAGTACTGGAGAGACCAAGCTCAGCAGACCCTGAAAAATGCTCTGAAGCTTCAGAATCTCAACACTAATGTGGCTAAGAATGTCATCCTGTTCCTGGGAGATGGTGAGGCCCAAGGGAGGGGCTGGATGGGGCACCTAGGTAGGGGCCCACGGAACCAGGTGTGTCGAAGAGGCTGGACCTCTGGGCGGCATGTTTAAGAAGATGCGGGGGCAGGCTGTGGACTTAAGAGGTTTGCTGTGCCATGTGGTCCTCTAAGGGTCTGGGTGGGGGGTGGGGGAGGTAAGGGGCTGCCCAGTCACATTTACAGAGACATGCTCTGGTGCCCACTGCTCAGCCTGCCTTGGCACCAAACTAGAGAGGTATGGGTGTCCGAGAAGACTGTTTGGAGAGGCAGGAAGCCTGAGAGACTGAGGCCTCCCTCTACCCGCCACAGGAATGGGTGTCTCCACGGTGACGGCCGCCCGCATCCTCAAGGGTCAGCTGCACCACAGCCCTGGGGAGGAGACCAGGCTGGAGATGGACAAGTTCCCCTACGTGGCCCTCTCCAAGGTGAGCTCCAGCCCCAAGCCCGCTGGGCTCAAGCCTCCCACTTCTCAGCTTGCCAGGCTGCAGGAAAGGGCGGGGGAGTGGGGTCTGCTAGGTTTCTCAAGCCGCCTTAGGCCCTGGCAAAAGCGGTCGGCCCTCCTGGGGTCTCCGTGGCTCCACTGTGAAATGCCAACAGCAGCAGCTACTTCCCAAGACTATTTTGAAGGTTTTAGCTCATTGATTTTGAAAAATCTATTGAAGAGTGATGTACACAGAGGAACGTTCACAAGGGCACAGCTTGAATTTTCACAAACTGCGCTTGTTGGTAAGACCAGCTCCAGGTGGAGAAACTGACCGTGACAGCAGCCAGCGGCCCTCCTGAGCGCCCCCTCCAGGCCCTAAACCCCTGCGCCCCACCCCGACTTCCATCACCATAGATCGGCTGTTCTCGCTTTTGTCCTTGATGTAAATGATGGAGTCGTGCAGGACACACTCTGCTCCCAGCGGTCCTGTTGCCCTTGTGCTCTACCAGGGTGGTTCGAGAAGTTAGTTTACTGGTGTAAAGCGGTCGCTATTGTTTGTTACCGGTGTCGTTATTGTTGGTGGTCATTCTGTAATGGAGATCCTAGACGCTCTGGGGAAGGGCAGGGGTGCGGGGAGCAGGGACTAACTGTAGCGTTTTCGTGCCTTCAGGGAGCTCTCAGGTTGGCCAGGAAGGGCGACAGTGTCAGCGTCTCTCCTGGACGTCTGAGCGTATGGGAGCGGGGAGGGCCTCTTCCTCGTTTCCCCATTCTAGATCCTGCCTCCTCATCGCTTCCCCTCCCCTTCCCCCAGCCAGGCTCTCCCACTCCTTCAGGGACCCCCTCACTCCCTTCTCCAGGACTCACCTGCCTCCCGCTCCCCCTCAGACCCAGGGAGAGGCCTGAGCTGACCCAGCCCTGCTCCTCTGCCAGATGTTTCCATGTGTTGGAGAGTTGCCTTCTTGCCCCTTCCTGCCGCCCTGGCTGCTTGGGCAGAGGGCGTGGGGGTAGAAGGCAGATAGCTAGATCATCCTGTGGCTCTGGGGGCACCATGGTGGGTAGCAGGGCTCAGGCAAGGCTGTGAGAAGCCTCTCTGTCTCCCTCATGCCCCGGGCGCCATGGCGTGGGTGGGGGTGGGGTGGGCAGCAGTTGGGGGGCCAAGGCCTGGCCGTCTCCTGACCCTCCTTTCCCACCTGCAGACATACAATACCAATGCTCAGGTCCCTGACAGCGCAGGCACCGCGACCGCCTACTTGTGTGGGGTGAAGGCCAACGAAGGCACCTTGGGGGTGAGCGCAGCCACCCAGCGCTCCCACTGCAACACCACTCAGGGAAACGAGGTCACCTCCATCCTGCGGTGGGCCAAGGATGCCGGTGAGCGGGGTTGGTGGCAGGGGAGGAGGGGGCCCAGCTCCGCGACCTGTCTGGGCCTCGGTCTTCCAAACTGTGCAATGAGAAGAAGATAGAAAAAGATGCTGTCTGGGCCTCTGCCAGCCCCAGTGTTCTGGGAGTCTGTGAAATATTCACGGGATCCAGTCCAGGACAGGGCAGGCCGGTGGTTTAGAAACCCACTCCAATGTGGGTTCTGGTCCTGGCGCAGGTCCCTGAGTCTACTCATTTGACTCTAAGATGGGCACAAAAACGGCCCCCTCATAGGCTGGGTGTGAGCAAGGCAGGGGGCGCAGCGCAGCACCAGCCCCGTGGGGGTTCAGTAATGCCCCCCGCTCCCTTCCTACTGGAATCAGGAGGCCCTGGCCCATGCCCCCAGGAACTTTAGAGTCTGGGGATAAGACCGATTGACACAGGCGACAGAACCACACCACTGGGAGCCCTTAGGAAGGGTCCCCGTGTTCTTGCAGGGCACCTGGAGGGGGGACTTCCTGTGGGAGTGGGGTTCCGCAGGGTCCTGGGTGGAGGGGAGAGCTCCAGCCCAGGTGCTCAGGGCTCAAGGGCCCGCCGGTTACAGAGGAAGAGCATCTGAGCTGCCAGGGGATTTGGGAGCCACTGTCTCTCACTTGAGTGACTGACATGGAGACTGAGGCCCAGGTGGTCAGTGTAACTGACAGGAGGCCAGCCTTTAGCTGGAAGAAGGTGGGAGAAAAGAGCTTGGACGGCCCATCTCCGGACAAAGCCAACCCCTCCTCTCCCACACCCCAGGGAAATCTGTGGGCATCGTGACCACCACGCGAGTGAACCACGCCACCCCCAGTGCCGCCTACGCCCACTCCGCCGACCGGGACTGGTACTCCGACAACGAGATGCCTCCGGAGGCCCTGAACCAGGGCTGCAAGGACATTGCCTACCAGCTCATGCACAACATCAGGGACATCGAGGCGAGTTCAGGGGATGCGGCCAGGGCTTGTGAGGCAGGGCCTCTGGTGCACCCGAGGCCTCAGGTACAGGCTGGCGCTGGAGAGACAGCTCGGCCCGGCTCCCCACACACCTGGGAGGGCTCCCAGCCCATTAGGGGCTTTGCGGTCGGGGCAGGGAGGCTCTGTAGGATTTCTCTGCGGTGGAGCTGAGGGATAAAACCTGATGTGGCCTCCACCCTACCTCAAGGACCAGGCGCCCAGGGATCATTTTGTAAATTGGAACCTGGCGCTGTACCCCCACGACATAGGAGGAGAGGGTGGCAGAGCGGCCATCTCAGGGAGTAAGTACCTGCCCTGTCCGTTCCCACATGCATAGACAGGTACGTGGCCCGTGGACTCAACCATCATGCCCAGAGAAAAAGTGATGTAGACAGTGGTTAGCACAAACTCTCAATTTTAAAATTCCTGGGTTCAAATCCTTGCCTTACTGTTTGCTAGCCCTGTGACCTTGGATCAGTTATGTAACCTCTTCGAACCTTCTCCCTTACAACCTCTTTGTAAAGAGTACCTACCTTGTAAGCCCAGTTACAAGATCTGAATAAAATAATCCCTGTGGAGTTTAGCATAGGGCCTGACACCTAGCGAGTGCTCAGGAAGTGGTAGCGTTATGCATGAGCCGCTTGTCCTTGCCCCGAAATACAAGATTTGAATATTGAGCAGGTTCGTGTATGTAGGTGAGCCCACACAGCTGAACATCGTCCACCTGATGTTTAGGTGGGTCCCCATTCTCTCTTCTTAAATGAGAACCTCTGGCTTGTTCCTTTTCAGGCTCTTGTCATTTACTGTGGGCCGAGGCAGGGGTCTGGTAGGGGGACATGGGGACTTTGAACCCCTGAGCCTAGAGTGAAGGTTCAGTGAGGCTCAGAGGAAGCCCCCAGGTCCTGCCTACCCCTTGCCTCTGTTTCTAACCCCACCAGACAAACTCACTGGCTCCTGGCCCCACCCTCTCCCCCACATGTAAACTCCCAGTTTTTAAGTGTCACCTGGCCCCTCTGTCAGCCCATGACTTCCCTTTTCCGAATAGTGGACCGAACACGTCTTTCAGGACAAACGGTCCTGTTGACTGCTCCCGGCGAGTGTAAATTCGAGGCAGAGCCACTTTCCCGACTGCTTCCACCTGTCTCGCATCCTGGGACAAGTCGCTTTTCTTCCCGGAGCCTCCGTTTCCCCACCTGTACAATGAGAACAGAGAGCCCCACCTGCCCCCCCACTGAAGGCCGAGATGAGGTCATGGATGCGAGAACGTTTGTTGTATGAGCACAGGGTGTAATTACGGGGCTGCTCCTCGGGGAGATTTGGCAGGAGCAGCCTGAGAGGGAGACAGGAGCTGGAGAGATTTCTCCGGTGGGGGCGAGGGGCGGATTGGGGGGTCCTCAGGGGCCACTGGGACATGAGCGAGGGCGAGCGTGAGGAGGTGGGGCCCCAGTGAGCACAGCCCCTGCCCCTTTGATTTTCTCTTTCTCCTCATCCTTTTTTTTCCCTCGTCAGCCCCGCATCACCACCACCCCGAAGCCCCCCAGCCCCAGGCTGTACATGAAACAAAAATCCTGGTGTCCGCCCTGAAAATAAATATCTATTGCTAAAAAAAAAAAAAAAAAAAAAAAAAAAAAAAAAAAAAATACAAAAAAATAAATAAAAGAAAGAAAGACACAAACCCAAACCCCAAAGCCAAACAGCAAGTCTGTTATTTGGGAGTTTAATGAGCCCGTGTGAACTCTCTGCTAGGGCTGGAAACGAGGAGGCTCCAGGCAAGAAGATTGGGGGCTTCATTTCCACTCTGAAAATACCAAGGGGTCAGGTTCTGTGGGAACAATGTGGGGGGGCAAGGGGCCAGTGACTCGGGGCCCCTTCTCCTCCTTCCTCCCACAGCCTGCCCCACCCTGAGCTCCTGGCTGGTCAAGCAGTAAGGAACTTGCCCCTATGGAAATAATTTCGTCTCCAATTCCTCATGCCAGTGACAATACCGCCCTCCCCCCCCGCCACCATGGAGGCCACCCCTGGGTACCAGGACGGCACTGTGTTATTGCATGTCCTCCTGTGGCAGTCCTGTGGCTGTGGCAGTCCCGTGGGTGGGTATCGTTTCTATTGTATAAGTAAGGAAACTGAGGCTCACAGAGGAGAAGTGACAGGCCCTTGGTCCAGAAGGGATAGAGTCAGGATTCAAAGCTTTGTCCTCTGTAGTTCCCCACGATCCAGGCTGGTCCTGGGCTGCCTTCCCCACCTCAGCCTGGGCCTGGACTCCCCGCAGAACCTGGGGTTCCCAGGAGGAAAATGAAGTGGCCGGAGACAGTGGATCCGAGGCCCACCACCGCTGGGCTCTGCTCTCCCAAGGTGTCAGCCAGGGGCGGTGGCCTGGGCTGACGCCTGTGGTGACAGGAGGACACCGTTGTGGTGGTAATTGTGGGCGGCAGCTGTTATGCTCTTGGCTCTGTTTTAAAAATAGTCAGGACTTCAAACATGGACTCCCAAGGAAAACAAACAGTCCCACGTCCCTCTGCCCACGCAAGCAGCGTGGTGATGTAAAATTAGCCTGGCGGTGACTACACAGCCGTGGGCGCTGGCCCGCTGTTTGCCCAGGCTCCCAGCTGGGCTGCCCCAAGACCTCCCTGGCCGAGGCCTCCGGCCCGCAGGCACTTTGCCTCTCGCTGTGGGAGACGAGGCTCTTGGAGTCTCCGTCCTTGGTTCTGCGGGCACAGCAGGGCCCCAGTGCCAGGGTCAGAGAAGCCTTGGGTTCGAATCCTGGCTCTGCCCCTTGCTGGCTGTGTGGTCTTGGGGGAAGACATCTCATTTCTGCGCTCATTCTTTTATTTGGAAAACGGGGACACAGGTTCCCTTGTGGCCCTGGTGCGAGGTTGAGTAAGATAAAGTGTGTGAAGAGCTTAGTGCCTGACACACAGTGAGTACTCTATAGGAGGAATTATATTTACACAAGTGGGAGTTATGTGCCAGGCTTCTGGAAAGCCAGGAAAGGGAGGTTATCGGGAGCTCCGATATTTCACGCAGGAGCCCAAACCCCAGTCCCAGTTGACTCATGACGTCACCTCTCCAAGTCAGAAGAGGCTCCGGGAGGGCAGGGTGGACTGAACCCAGGACCCCTCAGACTTGAGAAGCATCCACAGCATCCCCAGGCGGGGACCACTGGGGCTTCTGGATGTCTTAGAACTGCAGAGTACTGATGGCTCCTGTCCCCTTTAGGTGATCATGGGGGGTGGCCGGAAGTACATGTTTCCCAAGAATAGAACGGATGTGGAGTATGAGATAGACGAGAAGGCCAGGGGCACGAGGCTGGACGGCCTGAACCTCATCGACATCTGGAAGAGCTTCAAACCGAGGCACAAGGTAGCCCGCTCAGGGGCCAGAGGACTGCAGGGTAGCTTGTGGTGGGAGTGGTGCTGGGGTAGCCTTCTTTGAATCTGTTTCCTCTTCTAAAATGTGGGCATAATTTTCACCTCAATGGGCTCAAATGGTCTAATGGATACATGAATGGCGCACAGTAGGTGATCGATCAATTCCTTCCTTTAGGGGAGGGCAATAGAAAGAGCTAGGTGGCAAGTGGGGAGGGTGCGCCAGGAGCAATATGCATGGCCTTTCAGTCCACTTGAGCCCCTACTGTGTGCAGGGTCCTTGGCTGGGCATGAGGTCCAAAGGAGGAATCGAATGGTCAAAAAACATGGAGCATTGTGATTGGATGGTGGGATGCCCGGGTCCTACGGGAACCCAGAGAAGACAGACCACAGCGGGGGCCTGAGAAGGCCTGGCAGGGGGAGGTGGGGGTGGAGGAGGCAGCCCTGGGAGGGTCTTGCAGGCAGAGGTAGCAAGGCGCGAGGTAGAAGCCCTCCACAGCGAGTTGGCTTTGGCTCGGGCGAGGGCACGTGCTGGGGGAGGGAGGCTGGAGCGTGGGAAGAACCCGAGCTCTGGTTCCTGGAGTGGCTCTGGCCTTTTAAATCTGTGCTGCTGGCCACTGGGCCTGGGGCCGCTGGGGTCTGGAAATGACTGTGGTCAGGGCTGAAGACAGGGAGAGCAAGCAGCCTGGCAGCCACTTTGATGTCACTCTGGGGTTAGATTTCCGAGGGTTCCAGGGCTGGCCCTCGGGGAGGCCTTGTGGGCTGGTGCTGGGCCAAGAGTGAGTTGGGGGCAGGGGCTGGGAAATGGCCCCCACGGGGTTGATGGGGGTGCGACTGAGCTGCTTTGAACCATTTCCATTCCTTCTGAGTCAGCTCAGGCTGGGCCAGAGCCACCCCCCGGCCCAAGCCAGAGAGACTGCACCTCTCCCAGACTCAGTTTCTCTTCCTGGAACATGGGACCAGAGCCAAACCCTTCTTGCCCAGGCAGGGTGCTTACCCTGGAGCTCAGACTATACCCCAAGAGGGAGGAAGAGGGAGGAAGAGGGCCCACAGCACTGGACCGGACCAGGTGTCACTGTGGGGCCCCAGAGAGGCCATACATTCCTTGAAAATCATGCCTTAAGAGTAGATTCTAGAGTGTCTCACTTTTACTGCCAAATAGCTATGTCATCTGTGTATCTCAGTGTCCTCATCTGTAAAATGGGAATAATACCTACCTTATAGGGCTGAGGTGAGTATTAATTGAGATGGGAAACAAGGGAGGGGGTGGGAGTGGAGGAACAGAGCCCCATTTTCTTAGCCTTCCCACCCTCTTTCCCCATAACAGCCCCTGAGATTTGAAAACCACGGACCCTCATGCCATTGCCCAGAGAAGGCAAGGGAGTCTCCTGAGGACACACAGCTGGCTCCTGGCAGAGTTAGGGCCCCCAGTGGGCCCTGAGTCCCTGCATTAGAATTGCCATTTATTCGTCGTTTCTTGAGGGCAGGGAGGGACGGTAGGGGCTCAGGGAGGGATTGTTAAAGGACTGAAGGAAACAAATACACGCCCCAGACTCAGAGCAGCTGAAGTAGGTTCTTCCAACTCCCCCAGCCCCAGCACGGCTGACACAGGCCCTTCCTCCTAGCATTCCCACTACATCTGGAACCGCACCGAGCTCCTGGCCCTCGACCCCAACACCGTGGACTACCTCTTAGGTAAGGGGGTCGGGGGTGGGTGCCCTGGGGTGAGGGCTGCGTGATCCCTGAGGGCAAGGACCCAGCCCGCCTCCTTACTTAGTGACCTTTGCCCTCGGGCTCCAGGACCTGGGAGGGGTGAGGAAAGGGTTCTGGTTCATAGAACTTCAGGCTGAAATATGCTGGCTGTACAGGGTGAATAACCCCCCTGAGCACAAAGGGAAACCGAAGCTCAGAGAAGGGAGGTGACCTGAGGCATGCCCAGGTGAGTCTGAACCCCAGAGGGAGCTGGGATGTCAACAGATCTCAGGCTGCAGAGCAAGGGGGCCTGGAGGCCACTCTGCTGTGTGGCCAGGTCAGAAGCCAGATAGATTTTCTCTGCTGGTCTTGATTGGGGGTTTTCATCTCCTCCCCAGGGAATGGGGAGCAAGGGTGGGGCCCAAGGGCAGCTCTAGGCCAGGTGGAATGAGACCTGAGCACCGCTCTATGGACGTCTGGATCCCCTTTCCCACCTGGCTGCTGTGCCCAGCAAGTGGTGGCAATATCTCCCACAAACCTTTCCCAAGGAGCTCAGCCCCCAGGTCCTGGTGTGTCATTGGAGATTATGGGCTCAGAGCTGGGTGCCTGGAGAATCCCCCAAATACACGCACACACACATACACACACACACAGCCCTCTACTCACCTGCGTCAGGTGGAACAGACCCCATACCACACACAGTCTGTACAGAGCTACACATGTGCCCATAGAACATGACAGTTCACTCATGCGTCTTAGAGCCAGAGTGCTGGTTTCAAATCCAGCTCCTACCACCTATGAGCTGTGCAACCTTGGGCAAGCGATTTCTCCTCTCTGTGCCTCAGTTTTCACTTTTATAAACTAGGAATAATGATTCTTCTACAAAATGGGGGTAACGATACGGCCTGCTACAGGGTTGTCATGAGGATTAAATGAGCTAATGCATTATACAGGTTGTCTGTTGCTGCATAACAAATTGTCCCAAAACTTAACAGTTTAAAATAAGAGTGAACATTTATTACTTCACACAGTTTCTTTGGGTCAGGGATTTGGGAGCAGCTTAGCTCGGCCTCTCATGGGGTCATAGTTGTCTGAAGGCTTGGCTGGGGCTGGGGCTTCCAAGATGGCTCCTTCGCATGGCTGATAAGTTGGTGCAGGAAGTTGGCAGGAGACCTCAGTTCCTTGCCATAGGGAATCTCTCTAAATCCAAGAATGTGCAAGGCAGAAGCTGCAGTGTCTTGTGCCCTGGCCTGGAAGTCATACATTGTCATTTCTGCAGTATTCTATAGGATACATAAGCCATCCCTCGTCAGTGTGGTGGGGGGACACACAAAGGTGTGAAGTCCAAGAGTCAGAGCTTATTGGGCACCGTCTTGGAGGCTGGCACCTACATGCTTCCCAAGCACTTAGGGTGGCATGTCACACAGAGTGAGTACTCTCTTAATTGGAGCTCTCATTTGGCTGCACACACACTCACAGAAGGGCAGGGTGCTCTGGAAGGATACCCAGGACAGAAAACACCAACTTGGTACGTGTGGAATCTTGTGACGTAGGCAAGGAATGGGTCCCTCTCCTTATTTCATAAGTGAGAAAGCCAAGCTCAGTGAATAGAAGGGACAGTGACTCCAAATCTTGTGCTGTTTCACTGCACAGGGCACTGTGCCCTTCACACCTGACTTGTAAATAACATGTAAACACAAAACCAAGCCACCCCGTCAAGTCCACGACACAGTCTTCCACCCGAGGGCCATGGGCCCCTGTCCGGGGCCCTTCAGGTTTGGGGGTAGGCTGATGAACTTGAATCCCAGATCTCCTCCTTAGCAGCTGAAAATAGCAAGTCACTGACCCCCTGAGCCTCAGTCTTCTCCTCTGTAAATGGACATGGTGATCCTTCTCCATGGTACAGCTATGAGAATGAAAGGAGGCAGTGCTCAAAGCACTTGGCACACTTAGGGCCCCAAGAGCCATCCAGATGAGCTTCCTTTCCCCCACTTTACCCCTAAGTTGTAAGTGGGCAGCCTGTGCTCCCTGAGGCATCACCAGGTTCCTTGGGGACCCTCCCAGCAAGGCTCTCACCATCCACATTGTCTTCAGGTCTCTTTGAACCGGGGGACATGCAGTACGAGCTGAACAGGAACAACGTGACTGACCCGTCACTCTCCGAGATGGTGGAGGTGGCAATCAAGATTCTGAGCAAGAACCCCAAAGGTTTCTTCTTGCTGGTGGAAGGTAGGGGCCCAGGACTGGCTGCTGGGCCGCTTCCCTGGGAGCTTCTGGATACAGAGTCCTGAGGTCAGGGCATAGGGAGGTCCAGCTCTCAAAGAGGACTGTCCAGCTTGAGGATGATGGAGGAAAGTCCTTTTGTGGGGAGAGGTTGTGGGTTGGGGAAGAAGGGGGTGGTCCTGAAGCTCCCAGCCCAACAAGCTATTCTCCTTTGGGCATGGAGGTGGCACACCAGATTTACTAGTCCAGGAAGCCTTCCTGAAAGAGGAGACCAGTTTCTTCCTTCTTGGAATTCCTCCCTGAAACCTGGCTTTGAAGGGGCATGCAGCCCCCTCAGCTTCACTCCTCCCAAAAGACAAATCGGCAGGCCCCAGTAGACATCTGTGCTCTGAGCAGCTGCCTGGTAGGGCTCAAGGACACAGGCCCAGGGGCCTCCTCTGTAAATGCCTGTTGGTCTGCGGGAGCCCTTTCAGATGGACGGCGGACATCTGCTGTTACTAGGCACATGTGAGGCCAAGGTCAGGTTCATGAGAAGAGAAGGCCCAGGGAAGGGCCTGGGATATCCTAGGGTCCTCCAGATTGGGAGAACTAGATGCTTTGGGAGTCAACACAGCCATATGCCGACACGTATTGGGTTTCCCGGGGCCCTGGTAAGGCCCTGGAGTCAGACTCTTGGGCTCTTGACTTGATGCTGCTGTCCACTGGCTGTGTACCCTCTACCTGCACATTTTTGTAAAATGAGGCCCCAAATAGGCCCCCTCTCTTAGAAGGGTTATTAGCATCCACTGTGTTCAGAGACATAAAGTAGTCGGAACAGGACTGGGCAGAGAATACATCCTCAGTGTTTCTATTATTTCCATTATTATGATTACGCAATAGCTGAGTCAATAACAGGAAGTTTGAGGATCTGATAAAGGTTCCGGAATCTCCCCAAATTGTAACAGCCATTGTTACATATTCTACATGTACACACGCATACACACACGCACGCACACACGGACATATCTGTATACATACTCTCACCCCACATACACACACACGCTCAGGCCCCTCCGCGCTCCAGAGGCCAATGACCGCCAGCCCAGTTTGACTGGGCTTTCTTGCCAAACCCCGGGGTTCCCATTTGAGCACGGCGGTCTCTCGGCCTGGCCCCGAACAGGCCTCTGACGCCGAGGAACCAGCCAGGAACGAGCGGTGGTGAGCATGGTCTCCCTTGGGAGCAGTCCTCTTTGTGAGCAGAGCCAGAACTGGGCCCGCCAGGCCAGCTGCTCCCAGAGCCACAACAAAGGAAGGACCCGCCCTGCCAGCCTGCCAGGCCAGAGTGGCAAGGCTCAGGCCAGTGGGAAGGGAGAGCGGCCAGGCGCCCAGGACCCTCAGAGTTGGGAATGTCCACCAAGGCATCATCTTCCTGTCAGAGATGGGGAGGCGTTCCCTCAGGTCACAAAGCCCTTGACCATGACCTTGAAGCCATGCCGCATGCCAGGTGTCTTGTGCTCACCTGGGGGAGGCGGCATGGGATGCAAGCTTCCACAGGCCTTTCTGGAAGCCTGCCGTGGGTCCTGCCCAGGCGCCGAGGGCTTTCGCCACCCTTTCGGACTGTGCTTTACACTCAGAGGGGACTATTCAAAGTGGAGATGCAATGACGGCTTTAGAGTGAGTTGCCCGAATTCACATCCCAGCGGATTCCACCCTGGGGACATCGCAGCGGATTCCACCCTGGGGACAACTCAGTCTAGGCCTCAGTTGCTCTACCTGTAAATGGGGGTGACTATATTGATCTCTGCCCAGGATTGTTGTAAAGGGGAAACAAGACATCCGCTCGTCATGGCTGGCACCGAGGGGGCACGCCACGCAGGCATGTGGGTTCCCTCCCTGCCTCTCCAACGTTTCGGAGACTCCTTCGAGCAGCTGGAGCAGCAGTGCTGGGAGCAGCTCGGGGTGGTAGAAAGAGCACAAGTTTTGCAGTCAGGTGGATCTACTTTAAATCCTGGCTTTGGACTCTCCATGCGTGGGCCTTTGGTCCAGCAACTGAGCTGCCGTAAAGGTCGAATGGCTGTGTTAAAGCCTAATGTGGCTCCTGGCACGTGACAGTTCTCCATTGATGAAGGGTGAACCGGTAGAAGTGTGGTGGGCTTGGGGTGCCGATCTTCTTCCCCTCCCCCTCACCCAAGGCCTTTGCCTTGGTGTCCCAAGGAGGCAGGATCGACCATGGGCACCATGAGGGCAAAGCCAAGCAGGCACTGCACGAGGCGGTGGAGATGGACCAGGCGATCGAGCAGGCGGGAACCATGACCTCCGTGGAAGACACGATAACCGTCGTCACGGCCGACCACTCCCACGTCTTCACCTTTGGCGGGTACACCCGCCGTGGCAATTCTATCTTTGGTAAGTGGGCCTCCATTGGGGTGGGCATGGTGCACTCCCGGGGCCTGGCCATCCAAGAGCAGGAGTTGGGCGGAAGGGCCAGCAAGCCCAGGGCCTGGCGTGGTGGGACTCGGTGAGAATGGAGTAGGGAGGAAAATTTACCGACAGGTGGGGGAATGCAGGATGAAGGTCAAATGCAGGGGTGGATGGGTGGCTACCTGGACAGTGGATAGATAGGAGAATGAGAGAGGGGATGGATGAAGTGAGGGAGGGAGGGAGGGCCAGACTGACAGACAGGAGGGATGTGGGCAGAGGGAAAACAGGGATGGTTGGCTGGAGGTAAATCAGGTTTGGGAGGTGGCTTCATGGAGCTGGGTCAGAGCCTTTCAAAGGGACTGTGCTTCTGGGGCTCCAGCGTGACCCCCGGACCAATGCTTTCCTGTACAGGTCTGGCCCCCATGTTGAGCGACACAGACAAGAAGCCCTTCACCGCCATCCTGTATGGCAATGGGCCTGGCTACAAAGTGGTGGGCGGTGAGCGAGAGAATGTCTCCATGGTGGACTACGGTGAGACTGCCAAGACCCAGGCCTTGGGGGGGACAGGGCACCTCTCGGGGCTGGGCCTGAGAACAGAATGTAGGCTTGTGGTCAAAAACAGAGGTCTCGGAATAGCCAGGACTGAGTCAGAACAATCTCAATTTGAATCCCCTTCTACAATTTAGTAGCTCTAGAGCCTGGGGCATATAACTTCACCTTTCTCAGCTTCAGTTTCCTCCATAAAACTGTTCTCAAGGTTTTCTGAAGGACTAAATGGGTCTGATGAACTTAGCATGGAACTAAGTTAGCACATGTAGGTGCTGCCATTTTTATTGGCTACATAACATTCCAATGTAGGAGTCTTTCCAGTGTGTTCATCTACTTCCATATCGTTGGATGTTCATTTGTTCCTGATGTCCCCAGAGGCCCCTAGCAGGGTTGGGGTGTCAAGTGGTGCAGCCAGTGGTAAGAGGCTCTGCTGAGTTGACTCTTCTCTTCTCACCCAAATAGCCCAGATGAGGATGATTATCAGTTCTAGGGGTTGAGCATGCATGCTTCTGTGTCAGAATAGACACAGGCCCGAATCCTGGGATCTTGTGCAAAATGACTTCCCCCCACTAAGCCTCAGTTTCCTCTTCTGTAAAATGGGGGTATTTGAGCCAGTCTGGAAGGGGCACGGAGAAGCTGCTGTATAGCGCCCGGCTCCTGGTAGGCTCCCAGCAAATGTTTCTTCCGGTCCACAGCTCACAACAACTACCAGGCACAGTCTGCTGTGCCCCTGCGCCATGAGACCCACGGCGGGGAGGACGTGGCCGTCTTTGCCAAGGGCCCCATGGCGCACCTGCTGCATGGTGTCCACGAGCAGAACTACATTCCTCACGTGATGGCTTATGCGGCCTGCATCGGTGCCAACCGTGACCACTGTGCCTCAGTCAGCTCATTGGGCAGCTCCTCCCCAGGGTCCCTACTGCTCCCGCTGGCCCTGCTCCCCTTGGGCATCCTGTTCTGAGGGCCCGGGACCCAAGCACCCACCAGCCCACGACAGATGGCCAGCCTCCCTCCCCCAGCCTGCGCACCGCCCAGCAGCCCACACCTCAAGGGGCAAGGAGGCGGGGGCCTCCCCAGCCTCTGCAACTGCCAGAAAGGGACCCAGAAAACCAAAGTCTGCTGCCCGCCTCTCTCCTCTCTGCAGTTCTCCTCTGGGGCCAGACCAGTTCCTGGCCTTCTGCCTCTACTCCCACCCCGATGCCACTTTGGCCAACAGGGTAGGTTTCTCTTGGGCAGGCAGAGATCACAGACTGCAGAAATTCTCAAAGCATCTTATTTTTCTAGCAAACATATTTCTCCACACCTGGAGGCTCTGGAGCTTCCACGGGACATTCCAGACCTAACCCTCACCTTCTGCTGTCCTTCCATCTGGAACCCTTCAGGGCCCGGCATGCTCATGTCCCTACCTGCAGGGGAGACCAAGTCCTTCTGCTCAGGTTGGGGGTTTGCTCACTCACTTATTCCAAGGCCACCCAGGGCTCCCAGGAAGTCAGCTCCTAGGACTGACTGTCCAACCCCAGTGTGGCCAGAGCTGGGAAGAGCAGCCTGGCAGAGCAGACACTTCCCAGCTCCGAACACACATGCCAGCTCCTCTCTAAAGCGACTCTCCTGTCTGGAATGGCAAAAAAAAAAAAATCTCTTTTTGGTGTTGTTTAAAAGGGAACACAAAACATTTAAATAAAACTTTCCAAATATTTCTGAGGACAGAGCTGAGTCTTTGTGGTCAATGAGGAAGAGACTGAAATAAGCTCATTTCTCTGGGAAGAACTGGACTCAAAGACCAAGTGTGGAAGGGAGGTCAGGCGGGGAGGAAGGAGGCCCCTCCTAGCCCAGGGTCTTTAACACTCATTACCAAGGTGACTTTAGACAGATTGCTTTGTGTCTCTGCATCTCAGTTTTCTCATCTGTAAAATGAGAGACAGGCCACTCCTGGGTTGCTATAAGGATTAAAGAAGCCTGCCTCTGTGTCCTGAAACCCACAACAGAAAGGCCTTCAAGGGCTCCATGACGCCCTGGCTGCATGGCACTCGCCAACAGAACTATATACCTTGGCCCGTATTAGCTGCTCATTCATTCATTCATTCACAAATATTGAGTATGTGCTAGGGCCTGTACTAGGTCTAAAGAATTTAGTGGTAAACAACATTGACATGCTGCCTGCCCTCACAACTATGGCAACTACGATCTCTTTCCATACCTGATTGCCAAGCCTGGGTACTGGGCCCAGGATTGCACCTGACATGGGGCGTATACAGAACTTCCCAAGTTTGTTCCTCTTGCTTCATTGGAATGAATGTCCCCATAACAATAATAACAATTAACATCGATCATTTATCATCTGTCAAGTTCTGTGATTGATGCTTGATATGGATTCAGCTCATTTAATCTTCACTGGGAAATAGGCCCCCGTCATCCACATTTACGGATGAGGAAAATAAGGGTGTTGGAGGTGATATGATAGCTCAAGACCCTCCAAGCTGTGGAGCTGGGATTAGAATCCAGATCCGTCTAATTCCAAAGCTTCTACACTTAATGAAACCCTTTGTTTATGATGCATTTCCAATCTCCTGCTAACCAGGCTCTGAGGCAGCCAGTACTAATGACACATAACACACCCAAGTTAGATACAAACTCAGAAATATGAGAAACCATATATCAGAAGTGGAGCAACCTTCAGTTATCAAAATGCAAATGAGCAGATTTCTCTCTGAGCTCCCTAGCAGTCCTGGCAAAAAGAGAAGTAAAACCAAGCTGTTGCTGGGATAAAAATTAAACTACATGCCTACCTTCTTGCCAGGACAAAGATATATGTCATTTTGAAGTATATAGTATAGTTTGTAGGTGTTATTCTCATACCACCTTCACAATTTTTGTCATACCTCTATGCTCTTATTTCCTAAACACTTCTTTCAATTCACATTTAAGCAGTCAATTTTTGGAAGTTCACCGGTACCACCTGAAGTCAACTTACATATCTCAGGGGAGTGCAAACCATACTTTGCATCTGAGGCTGGGTTTCCCAAAGGCAGACGTGAGACAAGGATTTGTGTACAAGTGGTTTGTAAAAAGAACCCAGAAAGTAGGAAATAGAAAGTGTAGAAGTGAGACGAGAAAGGGAAGGAGACATTGCGATCCAGGGGGTGTTATCAAGCAGGTTGCCATTTTGGACAACCAGGGCTCCGTCCTACCATGGGCCTCCAGGAGATGGGGGGAAGCTGTACCGCAGAGGTAGCCCTCAGTGGGGCAAGGGCGCTGGGCTATTTATGCTTCCACTCTCATCCCTCACTGGCTAAGTGCTGCTCCTGGGAAAATTACTTCCCTGGCCCTCCCAACCTGCCCTTGGAAGGGCTGGGAGAAAGCCCCCAGGTATGCATTGCAACATTACATGCTCGAAGGATAAAAACGGGGCACCAACAGCATCTTAAACTTTGGGATACACTGATAGGGTTAGAAAGTATGGGCTCTGAGTCAGAAGGATGAGGTTTCATGTCTCTGCCTCATCGTGCTCTTGTTTCTATGAACTCAGATGAGTTCTCTAACTGCATTGATGTTCCATCCCTACACCTGAATGTAGAGGGAGCATTCAGAATCCCTCTAGGAACCAGGAGCTCTTCTTACCTTGAGTCCGGGCGGTGGGCTGATGTGTCCTCTAAGAACTGATGATTAGACACCCACTGCTCTAGAGTCCTCCCCAAGTCCCCCTCACCCAGGCTGGGACCCTGCACCCTCAGGTCACTGATCATTTTTTATTGTTACTGTTGGTGGGCTCTGAGTCTTGATCGAAGCCAGAGGTTGAGGCAGAGGTCATGGAACTGGAAACTAGAAACTAAGGGTGACAGTACCCACAGCACAAGGGTTTCCATAGCCCTCAGATGCTTTCTCCCGGAGGAAGAACAAAGACGAGCTGACAAATTTTCTTCAATTCATCCAAGGTACCCTGTCTTCTGTTAAAAATAAATCCAGAACTTAACACAATGAGATTTTATTTCTATTACAAATGTCCAGTGGTGTCTTTGGCCAGGTGACTGGCACTCAGGCTCTTGTGACTCTTCCTTCCTCTAAGTTCCAGATGTTCTGTTGAACCAGAACTTGTATCTACTAAGTTCTATCTGACCAAGACATTGTTGAAGGAGATGCAGATGGAGGAGACACTCACTTTGCAATCACTTCTTCCCAGAAGTTCCCATTGGTGAGAACTAGTCATATGATCCCACTTAGATGCAAAAAGGATGCTGGGAAATGTAGTCTTTGGTTGAATGGCTGCTTGCTACCAACAGCTCTGTAGCAGATTCTCAGCCTGGGTACTAGCGACAACTTGGGGCTGGATGTTTCTCTGTTGTGAAGACTGTCCTATGCATTGTAAGATGTTTAGCAGCATTCCTGGCCTCTAGATTTCTACTCACTAGATTTCTAGGGGGCAAAGTCACACTAACCAACCAGTTGAGAATCTCTGCTCTCTAATAAGGTAAGAGTGTGGGAAGCTTGAGCGGTCAGCAGAAGGTCTTGTCTCAGCTTCACTCATACTCAGGGCCCCTTCCAACTCACATGCTCCCCAGATGTCATGGAGCATCCTCACAGTGTTTTTAAGACATTGGGAACTTTCACATATGACGGGTTTCTGGCTTTTTCGAAAGCTTGGAAGGTGTGGCTGGCATTGCCCCACTTTTCTGCAGAGCAATGATCGGCCAGAGCAGAGAGATGGCTGCCAATCAGTGTATTGCTCCCCTGTTTGCCACAGTCCCCAGAATTCCCTGGACTTTTACGCTAAGCCCCTCTGGACATATGTCACCTATCTGGCCTTGATGGAGACTGAACTCATGGCCCCTGCTTTACTCTGTGCCAACCGTGGGAGACAACAGTGAACAGGACTGAGGCTCTGTCCTCAGAAAGCCCACGCCTCATGACAGAGACTGCCAGAAGCAATCCCAGTGGGTGGGGAAGCAAGGAGCTGTGGGAGCAGGGACGGGCCATCTAACCAGCTGGGGGCACAGTGCAATGGGTGAAGAGGCAGAGAAACCAATGAGTGAGCTGGGGCTGGACAAGGTGAGGAGGACTGAGACAGGGCATGAGGATACAAGAAGGAATTCAGAGGAAATTGAGGGAGGGATGGTCAGGAGGTCCTCGAATGCCATTCCAAGAAGCTGGGAGTTGACCATGAAGACCTTGGGGAGACATGGAAGGTTCTGGAGCTGGGGCATGAGCATCATTTTTGAAAGATCATCTTGGCGGACAGTTTCAAGAAGAGGAACTGGAGGCTGGGAGACCAGTCGGGAGCCTGCGCCACTGGAACAGGCAGGAGAAGCTGAGGCCATGGAGATGGAAAGGGAGACAAGTTCCAAATACGTGCGTGAGAGTCCCGGCCCCTGTTTGTCAAGAAGGAAGCTGGACCAGCAAACTGACCGCTCCAAGATTAAGGGCAGGAGGGAGAGGATACCTACTACGCACCATCTGCCCTACTAAGCACCTGAGATGTGGCTGTGATGGTGCCACCATGAGGGTGCATTTTCCACACATACCCCTACACCATCCTGTGAGGTAAACAATATCATCCCTATGTTACAGATGAGAACGTGGAGACTTGGCAGAGCACAGCGACCTGCTCCAGGCCCATAGTTCAACCTCTGCAAGTTGAACTTGGGTCTGCCTGACTTCCCATCCATGTCTCCCCCACCCTTCCCACCTTACTTCTGGGGTGCTAATCCCTCCAAGGAAAACAACCCAGGCCCATCAGCCACAGAAGCCCTTAGATGGGGTTGTGAGAGCCCCAAGCGGCATTTATAATTAGTCCCGGTGGCTAACCCCGGACCTCCCACTGAGATCTAGCACCAGCTGGTGGGGGTGGGGATTAAATTCTCAGAAGAGGATTTGGGCTCCCAAGTTCCTGTGTGGCTTCCTGCGGCCTCCCTGTGATGCTGTCTTGATCACGGCGCCAGCACCAGGCCCTTTTCTGGTTCCTCAACCATCTTCTTCCGAACCTCAGAACCTCAGGATGGAGAGCACGCATGGACAGGGTGGGGACG